ATTTTTCTCTTCTGTAGTATTTTCTTAGGTTGTGTTTGCATGAAATATTCTGCTGTTGTAGGATGAGGAAGCGAAGCATCAGTCCCATGCAGGGAGAGCAGGGAGCTGATGATGCTCAAATTACAGATGGCTGGAGTCACTACTCTTACCCTGATACCACAGGCACCAAGAAGATGAAAACTGATGGTGTGTGAATACGTGTGTTCATTTGTACTGTTTTTTTGTTTTTTCTCTCAGTATGGTAGTATGCAGCAGGGTTCCCCTAGGAAAGTACTTAGCAGAGGATGAGAGCAGGTGGCATGGTGAATGATCATCACTGCCAAGGAGTTAAAGTTAAGCAAGCCTGGGTACTCTAGTGCTAGATTAGTGTAATTTTATTAATATTGACCTGCTCCAAAGCAGATGTCAGATGACTTTGAAGACATTATTCCCAAAGATATTTATGGTGAATAGTGAGGGAGTGCATATACTAATAAAAGCTCTGTCTTAATGCATTTTCTACACACACGCTGTGTCCCATTAAATGATAATGAATACTCTGAACTATAATCTTGGGTCTTGTGCACTGTTGTCACTGTTTCCTAGATGCGGCAAATACTAAAGCCGTCGAGAGTAAAACATCCGAGGGATGGCTGAAGACGACGTAAGTAAAAGCAGCCATCATTTATGCTGACACTGTCATGTTTGCTGTGATTTAAGCCTCTTATGGTTGCTGTGTTCTGCAGGGATCTATCAGATTCACCTGGGCTAAGTCCAGCCCCTGATGATGAGAAAAGCCCCGAGGGTACAAATCCAGGCAATGACGCTGATGGGACCATCCCTTGGCAACAAACTCCAACAGTACACAAGAGGAAGGGTCAAAAGAACAAGAAAAAGAAATCTGAAGGTGCGTTTTTTGATACGGGTCCATTAACCTACTTGCAGGCCTGGAACAAAGATTCTCCTCATAATGTGATTTTATTTTACTTATTTTTTTCTTTCTTTCTTTATTTTTTTAAATAATGGTTCATCATCACATTTAGATGTTCTGGAAGTAAAAAAAACAGGACCAGGTCAGATTCAGGCTGACTCGCTGCTTTGGGCTCTTTGTAGTGTTGTCAAATATAAAGATGTGTAGCTAAAATCAGCTTAGCTGCGCCCTTTCCTAAGTTAACTCTACTCCCTTCTTTTATCCTAGATAGAAATAAGACAAACTAAATATCTTCTCAACATGCACCGATTAGCCACAACATAAAAGCCTAATATTGTGCAGGTCAAAGTGACCTGTCAGGAGGATGTGGTGTCATATTGTGTGTGACTGCATTAACTTGAACAGGGCAAAATAGGAGTTTCAGAGTGAGACCATAGGTGCATCTACAAAAAATCTCAGGCAAGTTCGAATCCCAGTGGCCTTGACCTCAAGGTCAGAAGTCAAGTTTTCTGAAAATCCTGTGAATGCAATAACTTGACGTAGGATTATGAAATTGATATCGCAGGAGGCCGAGAAATGGCACTGAGGGTGCCAGTATTTTTGTGTTATGTTCCTTTTTGACATTCCAGAGAATTGGGAGAAACTGGAATATGGTGGGAGTCAGGTAGGGAATACTTAACAAAGGAGATCTGCTTGTAGTTGATCTCATAGAAATAATATAGTTACCAAATATACTTGGACTATAGTTTTTTCTTTCTTTTCTTTGTTGCTGGGAGTCTCATTTGTGAAAGCTGAAATTAGGCGAGAATTTAAGGGTTCACAACAGCCTGAGGATGTTAATAAGGGATTACATGGCAGTTTAAGGAAGCGGAGGGACTAACGGTAAAAAATAAAACTGTACATTTATCATATACTGTTTAATATGACCTGGTGAATGTAGACACTGGGAACAAGTTGTTGGGTTTTTTTCAGTCATGTGAAAAATGTGCATCTCTCCTGTGCAGGTGCTGAATCTACACCAAAACTGTTCGAAGTCCCAGAAGTCTGGTAGCGAGAGGTGAAGCATGTAGAGGCCGCTGTCTCATACTGGGCTCCTGCACAGTCTCTCTTCCTAAGCACTTGGGATATTCTCCTTCAAGGTCGTACAGTACTATATTCATTTGTTCATCCAACAGCTGTGGATTCAGTGTCCATAGCTACCAGCCAAGCTACATAACTGGACTACTGACAGAGAACACAAGCCATAACAGCAGCTGCCATATTTTGATCCTACATCAGAGGAGCAGGCAACTCCTCTGGGTAAACACACACAGATGTACCACCAGATCTTTAATATCGAAATTATTGTTCATTTATTCTCTGATGTGTTCAGACTGGTATCTGCCACCACATCCACGTTGTCACTTTGGAAACATTTACACGTTTTAATGACGGATACCTGTAGTCAGTCTTATTTTTGTGAGTGCGAGTTGTGTGCGTGAGTGCGAGAGTTTGTGCATGTGAGGGAGATGTACATTTTTCTCCCGTCTTTGTATCCCTGTGAGTCATAAATTGTGAGATATACCACTTGACAGGTCCTATAGTTTACAAAGTCAGGGTTATTTAGTATTTTAATGCAGTCCAATATTTTTTCCATTTTTAAAAAAGTAAAAAGATCTGTCAACTTCTCCAGTTTTATCATAGAAGCTTATCAATGATAATGTGATATTTATTATTGGTGGCATTTTGTCCTTTCATGAGAGGTGCTTGTATTTTTTTTCTTTTTTCTCTTTCTTTTGTACAGAAATGATTTTTCTTTACCTTTTTGTGTTGAATGTTTTGTAACTGTGTCAACCTTCAGTCTGAGTATGTTCTAATGCAAAAGGTGTAAGCGTTAAAATGACGTATACATTTTTGTATGAGATAAAGTTTAAAAGTCCTTGAAAATTTCCTTGGAAAAGGGGAAAAAATTAAAGAATGTTTCTTACTAATTGTTTTTGTCTCATTTTATTAAACAATTGTTAAATAGACTCAAATATTCATCCACTTTAGAGGCTCTGTTATGTGTCCTGTTAACCTCAAGCTTTTTTTTTTTTTTTTAAACATTCATGATTAACTTGACTACTTGATGTTGTTGAATGGAAAACATGCCTGAAATTATTTATTATAGCAGAGGAATTTAATTTGGTGACTTGGCTTCAAGATCCTCCCACGTTGTTAAATATTGCACTCAATTTCTGTGTGTATACCCCGCAGCCTATAGGAGGATGCTGGGGTGGTGGAAGGCTTGAAACTGCTCCCAGAGGGAAAGACGGGAAATTCTGGAGCCCAAGTGGAAACTTGGGAGTCGTGTTGATTCCTGATTCTTGTGTTATCTGTCCAGCTTGCAGCTCTTTAAAATGCAAAGTCATTCAAATCCCACGAGGCTTTCAGAATCAGTTGAGGGTTTTGTTTGTTTGTTTTCCTTGTTTGTTTTGTTTTTTCCAGAACACATGTTAAAGCCTTACAAAATTGTGCCTTCATTCTTTAAGTACATGGCACTGTATTGAATATTTGTCTTTTGGGGTTTTAAGAACAGGTGCCACTTTTTTTAAGGGTAAATAAACACATTTGAGCTCTGTTTGAGAACACAGTTAAATCAGTTGTATATCCGAAGTGTTGGACATCAGCGTCATGGAATATATTAGACTCTATAATAAAACCGCAGCAGTGTAACGTCTGTGACATGATTGTTTGGTAAAAAGTCACAGGGAGCCCGTCCTGTCCCTTTTAACATCATAAATGACCTCACCCTGATGAAAGAGATTACTACCCTGCTGGCTAAATTAACTAATGCTGAACATCAAAGTGTAGAAAATAAATAATGTGATACTGGTGGAAGTTCCTCTTCTCTACTGGCTGCATTTACATGGCGTCATATGTAATATCCATGCATTCTGTTCTATTTATGCAGTTCAGAGCGGTGGAGCTACCTTAGGATGAGAGGTGGAGTACACCTTGAGCAGCTCGACAGTCTGTTGCCAACACAGAGGCAGACAACCATTCAGAACATACAAACTACACACACAGAGGCCAAATGCTCGATTCAAACCAGTGATCCTCTTGCTGTGAGGCAACAGTGCTAACCACTATGCAGCCCATTATATTAATATATTTATAGTTTTTAGCTAATCCACTCACCACTGTTTTGGTGAGAAGCCTTCTCCTGTTGGGAAGCGGCACCAGAGTGCAAACAAGCACTGGTATCCTGACTGTTTTATCTTCTGATAATTCACAGGAGAATACTACAAAAAGTTCATTTTGTGCAAATTTTCAAGGTGCCGTGTCACCATACAGCAGATTAAGCAGAAGAAAGTGGATGGATGGATATATTTGTGATTAGTGGCATTTCCATACCTATATTGATACCAGGGTCATTTTTCTAGCTGTGATTTCTTCTAACACAATCATTTCTTTAACCCTGCAAATGTTAAATGAAGAAACTGCATTGGCGCTTACATGTTCTCTATTAATTCTGGGATCTATTATTTTGAACATACAACACCGATTAAACAATTTTACATCCTGATAGAGGTTCTCACACACATCCACAGAGCAGGACCTCAATCAGTCATGCACTGATGCCCAGCCTTTTTCAACCCTTAAATATTCGTGTGGATATATTCCAAAGAAATATCGCAGCATAACTTTGTACTGTAGGGCCTGCAATTCAGACGTGCATGGTTTGATTAAATACGCTAAAGTTTCTGTATCACAAAAACATCAGCTATCTCTGAGGGAATCAGATAAGAAGCAGTGATGGATTTTATATGCAATGACCTTTATATTTATACGCAGGTTTGGCTTATAAATGTTTGCACTCAGTCGCAGCAGAACTGCTTTAATGTGTAATTTTAGTCTGTAAATGTAATCCCTCAAAGTTCAAAGTTCCTATATTCTAAGCACAATAATCTTCATGTGTTTTGTATTTAATTCAAGCATTACATTCGTGGAAATCATTCCATCTTCCTTTTACATACAGCATAATCCCTCTGCATGTTTTCCCCTCATAAATGAGACTCCCAAGTTGTTTTCTTCATTTTCTATCATTGCACCACAACATAAAGCCAGGTTAATGTATAAATATTGTTTATTCATGGAATGACAACCATCATATTTTTATTATACCCTTAGGCTAGGGAGTTCTTCAATTTAGATCCACACACTAAAGGCAAATCTTAGTTTGCAGCTTTGATTATTTCAAGGCCATAAAAAAAACTTGCCCCATTACACAAAACTAAAAAAGCAATTCCTGAGGTAGAGCAAGTCTCAGTAAAACCCAACGCCTTCAGGTTTCACTTTACTGAACAGATTTCATTTGATCCAGGTGACACAGGTTCAGGCATCCTGGAGCCGACAGCTCCATCTCCTCAACAATCTTGCTTGACTTCCATTAGACACAAGCCAGGAAGGTGACCATTTGTGCTAGGGGGAGGAAAAACAGGGGGGAAATGGTTCAGAAATGTATGACTGGAGGGCAGAATGAGGCAGAGACGCTGCGGGGTTTCTCACCTGGCGTGTCCGAGCAAAACAACAACAGACAAGGTGCCAGCCGGGAGGAATCTGAAGAGCTTCTGCAGGCAGCGGTCTAGCTTCCTCATCACGACATCCATTTGCTGTTCCTACGCATATGAAACATAAGAGTCATCATTATACATGTTCTGTACATCAATAATATTCTGAAAAATCTAATTACCAAAGATGCTTTTAGCTCTCCTAATTGAATTCAATTTTATTTTTATAGCTCCAAATCACAACAGGAATTGCCTCAAAGTGCTTTTTATTGCAAGAAAACCCCAACAATCATATGATTCCCCTATGACCAAGCTCCTTGGCGACAGTGGGAAGGAAAAACTCCCTTTTAACAACCTGTGTCATACACGGGTGATAAAGGAAGAAACCTCCAGCAGAGCCAGGCGCAGTCATCTGCACAAACATATTGCAGCATAACTATTACAGGAAATGAACCTATACTGAGATTGGATTCTTTAAAAGAAAAAACACAATGCAGCACTATCTATATCAACCAATCACACGGAGATATCCTGAAACCACATGATGACATCCATCATACTATGACTCCATTCGTTAAACACAGCAGCTTATCACGCTCACCATGGGGATCTGTATTTAAGATAATCATGGTCCCAGCACTATCCAGCTTTCTGTTTCTCGTACTCTTAAATCCAATTTAACAAACTCCAGTGGGGCTGTCACTTGGCCTCTGCTCAGAGTAACCCTGATACACTGTGAGCTCCAGGCTGCAGTTTTATCCCTGCGCTCTACAGAGTTATTTAGAATTCATGCCTTGTTTTCTTTTTTCTCTTTTGAGGTGCTGACACGCTGTGTGAATTCTGGGATCAGTTTGATTTTGCACAGGAGGGAGAAATTAATTACTAGTCACATTTCAACTCAATAAAACCTGACCACACGTTCAGAAAGTGTGCAGATAGAATAAAAGTAACTAACAGAGATTCAAATTCTTCTGTAAGACTTTACTATGTTATAATGTTGGTAATATTCTTAATTAGTGAAGTCATCTATGTGTGATGTTTCTTCTTGGTGTAGCCTTTCCTTTTTCCCTTTTTCCTTTGGATTTTTATAGGATGACACAGCAGAACTGTGTTATGACCCAGGATGGTTGAAATACTTGTTCTAAGAAAACAACAGTATTGAATTCAGAGACTTGGGAAAAAAAACCCAAACATTTCAAATGAGACCTTTTTGTGCACATTTCCAGATCAATATTTTTATGCTTGACTTGACTGGAGTAGCTTTGCATGACTCACAGTTCTGCCATGTTAGCAGGCCGCGAGTTCACGCGCTTTCTGAAAACAGGTCGTTTTAACTCCCCTCACTTTCAGCTTTTTGATCGGCTTCCCTCTCAACCATTTTTGGCTAGAAAGAAAATTCAAATGGTTCCAAAAAGATCATTTTTACAGCCAAAATTATGAAACAAGTCCAGGCAACCTGTGTCATACACGGGTGATAAAGGGTTAAAAAAAGAACGACAACCTACTGGAATCACAACAATCTACTCGTTACCTGAGCGCTGCTGTGCCTGTGGGTTGTCGCCTTAATCTCCGCTCCAACCCATGAAGGCAAATGGACCGGCGTCAGCGATGGACAGATGAGGTAGTTCTTCTTCCACAGATCCTCAGAAGAGTTGAGCGCTGCGCGTCTGTCCTCTGAATTCACAAACACTGACAGCCGGACACGTTAGACTCTGAAGTGTACACAAACGTCCCACACAGCACGTGCAACGCGTGATAAATGTAGTTTTCACCTTACCTATGCGTGCACGTCCTGTGGATTCTTTAGGCTTGGCAGATAGGATGACTCTCTTCACTGTGCCAAAGTGGCCAAATGTCTCTCTGACTGACTCCTCACACAGTTCAGATTTAGAGGTACTGAGATGCAACCATTTGTTTATTTTAGCAGGAAGTAGCCCGTTTACTGTTTTCACAGGAGTGACATCTAAGCATTCAGCATCTGACACATGCCCATTAACTTTTGTGGAAGTGCTGATGCACTCAGTCATACTGTGGTTCATTTTAACAGCGTAGAGGTGACGAGCATTCAGAGCGTCACCCATCAGTGCTTTAAGAGTCACATCCAGATCTAGCATTGACTCACACACCGGCCTCTGTACCTAGAAAATAACAAGTAGTTGGAGATAATCTGCATAAATGTGGGCCTAACTGCAGCACAAAGAGAATAAATAACAGAAGCAAATGGAAAAAAAAGAAAAAGGAAGAGAGCTACCTTTATAGTCTGCCCGAGCACATTAAGGCCATTCAGAGTTTTTACCGCCAGCATCGCTCCCTCCAGCAACTCAAACTCAATCTCTGCGTGTACCTGGGAGATCAAACACTTAAGCATTCAAGCAACGGTGAAGAATTTCGCAGCTCTGGTTTTATAGCAAATCGGTGAAACTATGAAAGCGATGCACACCCTGACCACTGTGTTCAACATCTTGACTTTTCGAACGGCTCCGCAGAAACTAAACAGCTGCTTCACGTCTCCGTCAGAGAAGCCTGTGGGGAACGGCCCAGCAAACACTACACACATGTCCTGAAGTCTCGAGCAAGTCTGCAGGGAATAAATAGACAGAGTAAATACACGCAAGCGAATGTCTTCAGAATGAATCAAAGCGCTGGCGAAAAGCCTCACCATCTGATGGTGCCGCTCCTGACGAGGGAAGTAACTCTTCAGATGGTTTGACAAGGTGGAAAACTGAAGGACGGAGAAGAACGGCTGCGTTTTCAGATTTCGGAAAGATTTAAGCACCTGGAGGGGGGGGCGGTGCATAATGAGTTAGGTGTAATTGGGCAGAAACAAAGCAGGAAGAGTTTATGAGAGGAAAGTGAG